TTCATGCGCGTCACTAATTAGATGACGAGGCATTTGGCTACCTTAAGAGAGTCATAGTTACTCCCGCCGTTTACGAAAGGCGGAGCCAAAGTAGAATAATGTCTTTTTTTATTAAGGATCCGGCTATAGATACGAGTCGAGCCCTAATTTATCTACAGATCCCCGCACTAACTTAGTGACGTCTTGCTAGTTCTAGACCACTCTTTCTCTTCTATGTAGTGGTATTGGGACAAGAAATCTCTATCTGCTGAGAATCAGCTTGCCTAACAAATCTGCTCTGAGACTTGGCCTATCAAAACTATCATTCTGCCATTTACAGCATCTGAATCTGTGACTAGTCCAATAGCCAAGTTACATCAGTGGTAAGGAATTCTTGTCCATCTGGTTACACTAATTAAGTACTATCCCCTTCTTGTCCCAATCAATGTTCGCAGGACCCAGCTATTATGGGACTATTCCTCGCTGAATTTCGGGCTCAGGCACTAAGACACCTGAGCCATCGTTTACTGTCCTTAGCTGGACTAGCACTAGGTTCCGGCACAGAAGAACTTCGTACGAAATATGAGAAATGGCTCTCGAACAATCTCCTCTTGTCTTTCTAGGCACATTTAGAGTAGACCAATCCATCTCTATTCTTAAGCCAGCCAACAGTAGGTATTAGCTGCTCGACTTAAAAGCCATATTATTTTCTATTAGTGATTTGCTCCTAATGATATCAGGCGGATAGGACTTAGTAGTCATACACCTGCTGCAAGACAAAACCAGCATTTCAATAAACCTTCGGACGAGGATGGTCATACAGAAATAAAAAACAAGGAAGCTAATAGCATGCAGCAACAATTGGGCAGTTATTGATACAAATTGTCACGATCAATATCAGGGTCGAGGGAGAATCAGACAATGCTTTGATGAGGTCGAATTTAAGACACATTTTGGCTCACCGCTATTTTTTGACTTTTAGTTCATAAAACTCTAAGTGAAGAAAGCCCAAATTTTTTCGGTGAGTATCAAACTAGAGATGCAGACTTTCCACTTTCACGAGTACTGAGAAATTTGTTGATGCGTCGTGGCGTGGTCAATAATCGAGTTAGAGCAACTACCGTTTCCTGAGCACGCCGAAGCTCTTCTGTATTCTCTGACTCTTCGATCTGAAGGCTCTCTGTGAGTCTTGGCAGTTGATTTTTGACAAACTTCAACTGATGCTCAGCATAGGAAAGAGTATCTCCTATTCTCTCTTCTTCGAGAAAAGGGGTATATGGTTGAGCACCATCCACCAGGAGAAGTTTTGATTTTAGGAGGTTTCTTTGTAACACTTCGATTTTCTTGTCCCATTTTTCAAACTCATGATTATCGCGACCGGTGCAGGGCAAGCTGCGTTTGAGTATGGTCCATTTGTCGTAGCATTGGTGAATTGCACAACGGAGCTTTTCCTGAAGATATCTTGCTCTGTGATCATCGATCACCAACTGTAGCAGCTCTCTATCGCGGGCCCCACTCACTAGTGCTTCTGGTGGCTCGGACAGTAACGTCCCCTTAAATGGCCAGCCAAAAACATGATCATATTCACCAAAGGAATAACCGTGATGTAGTAAATCTCTCCACCCTGATGGTGAAAGACAAGAACTGTCTGAAGGGCTTTCTCTGGGTGCAATATGTGCAGTTGCAGATCCAGTAATATCCATCTGCCAGATGGTTAGAACAAAGTCTCGGGCATCCAGGCGTGCAAAATATCCTCCTGAAGAATCATCTATAGAGTATATTCTTGCTCCATTGGCTAGAGCAAGAACTACTAAGCCCCATAGATCAACACGTGCTGCGGGCAATGAAGCAACAATACTAATTGATGTAAGTGACTTCTGAGATTTCTCAAGACAATGACTTTTAGTCTCATCCGGTAATGATCTGTAAAGTAGAAGCCAGCAACATTCACCGTTATGTTTTTTTACCTGGTAATGCCAGGATGAGCAGCAGGAGAGGCTATTTTGTATTATTTCTTCCCACTTATCTTTTTTAATTGTAAAAACTTTTCGAATTTCCAGACGTCCAAGTCTCTTAAAGGGTAATAGAGGCCAGCGACGTCTTTGGGTAAAAACTGGATATTTATCCTCTCCATACCAGCTTTTTGCAATCTCTACCTCTTCTAGCCACTTATTTAAAAGGTTAAGTGCCTGAATTCCAACATTCAGTCCACTAGATATGGCAATATCCATCAATGTAGACTTTCATGTAGAATAGAAGTCAATCAAAGAATAGAGATGATTCAGACAAGGACACATGATATGCTTGATCATTTAACAGACAAAAATAGGAGAGAGAAAACCTTTTAAAGTAAATGAGATTCGTATCATTAGCAGACAAATACGATCTTACTAGAGGTCATTAGAGGTAAAGGAAGCAACAACCCCGCCTCACGGAACTAAATGATGTCATTGCTTTAACACGAACAAACCCAAACCACCGATTCAAATTATTGACAATCATGGATAAATGCTGTAATCACAAGCCAAGGCTAGCAAATCAAAACCTTGTCTGCAGGCACAAGGTTAGTCCATAGGAGTGGAATTCAAGGACGAGCCCATGTCAAGTTTCATATACATCGATATGAGAAACATATCTCAAAGAGCCATAACAAGGTCAAGCCGAGTAAAGATCTGAGCAGGTCATGCAACTACCAGTCATATGCAGGGAGTTTTGGAATCTCGTGTTCCGTGGTACGCTTTCACGGGTATCAGTACGGTATTTTGGTCAAAAGAGTAAGTCTATGACGAAGATGATGTATTTGATTCTACTGTTCTTTATCAAGTGAAATTGTTTTACCTACAATTATACGGGTCTCTCTATTGTAAATACCCACAAATTGATCATAGCATCGCTCAAGAGTCTGCTTTGACTTTACCTACAAGGGTCCCTCAAACATTTATCATACATATCTTCAACAATGAACATTGCTATATCTAGTGGACTGGATGTTGGTATCCAGGCACTTAATCTCTTAAACAAATTGTTAGAAGAGAGAGAGATCGCAAAAAGCTGGTATGGAGAGGATAAATATCTTATCTTTACCCAAAGACGTTGCTGGCCTCTATTACCCTTTAAGAGATTTGGACGTCTGGAAATTCGAAAAGTTTTTAAAGTTAAAAAGGAACATTGGCAAAAAGTGATTGAAAATTGTCTCTCAGATTGCTCAACCTGGCATGAGCAGATGACTTATAATAATCAAGGAAATTGCTGTTGGCTTCTTCTTTACTTATCATTACCCAATGAAACAAGACAAAAATGTCTTGCATCATCTCGGAGTTCGCTAGAGTCAATTAGTGTTGTCGCTTCATTACCTGCAGCACGTGTTGAGTCATGGGGTCTAATTGTTCTTGCTCTAGCTAATGGAGCTGATATACAGATTACATATACATCTACCGGTGGAACCAATGCTGTCCTTGATGGCCAGAGTTTTATTCTGACAATCTTACAATCAAATATTGCTGGCCCTATAACAGCGCATATTGAACCCAAAAGATATTCTTCAGACCATAAGACTTTTACTTCTCCTGAGTGGAATAACCTACTCTGGTTTGGTCATTCTTTTGGGGAATATGATCATATCTTTGGATGGCCACTTAACGAAAGTCCACCACTTGACCCCCCCGAGCAATTGGTGGATAATGTCCGCAATCAAGAGCTTTCTCGATTGGTGATCGATGATCACAGAGCAAATCGTCTTCGAGAACAGCTAAAGGACGCTATTCACAAATGTCACGATCAGTGGGAAGACCTGAAAGATATTCAACCGAGTGACGAGCTTATGAAAGACATTGATCCTATTCAAGAGAATCTCAAGAAGTTGAAGCTGATTCTAGTTGACCAAGACAATCCAAGTGGTTCCTTCTCTCTGAAGGAAGAGAGAATCGATGATACTCTTGAATACTCAGAAGAACAATTGAAGATTGTTCAGGAAAAGATCAAAGAAAGGCATCCCACATTTGTCTTCGCAGGTTCCAGAGAAACAATGGGTCTTTCACACTTGAGCAGTTTGGAAACAGGTAATACGAGGCGTACTGCGATTGTTGAGACTCCATCACGTTTGAATGAATTTGTGACAGTATATGATAACTTGGACGGTCAATTGGTCAAGAGCCATAAGATAATTGTGGCATTAACCCGACTACTGACGAAGCCCAAATTGATACCTAATTTTCTTAGCACTCGCGATGCCGGAACATATATCTCTGTGGTTTAATCCACCTTGCAGGGTTGATCCATCTTCTACTCTTGTGCTGTATGACACGATGAAGGATTGGTCACTCTTTGGAAGATTGTTTCTAATTTTTCATTCTGAATTCGAGTTATTGAGAGCAATATCAACAAGCCAAAACTTATGAGACTTAGAGCTTTTCACGCCCCCCAAAATGTGTTTCATGGATACATAAGCCCTGTAATATTAACATAGGAAGCCTTTTTTCTCTCAAAGCAACCATAAATACTAAATAGAGGTTTTGAAGAAAGAAATGGATTTCTTGCAGCCTAGCAATCGAGGGAGATATATCTAGATTCTAGGCAGTATGCATGACAGTAGATTTAGAGTGCCAAGCCTATGTCACTCACACCTCCGGCACCTGTGCGCAAGGCCAGCTCGTTATTGCAGCTAGAATAATGGCCACTCCAATGTATACGACTCCCATTATCCTAGCCGTCATCAAATCAATACAGGTACTGAAGTCAGTTACTCCTATCCCTGTCAGAGTAGCGCCAACCGTGGCGAATAACACCGAGCAAGTAACAAGGGCCTTTTTCCAGTCAGGCCATAGAAGTAGGGCCGTAATGCTATACAGCCCTGGGATAACCTGTGATGAATCTTGTCATCTTCAATTTAAATGTGTAAGCTTTTCACCAACTCACTGTTGATACAGCAATCATCACATTTTGCCCTGATCTGCACACATCTTTCTCGTTCTGCTCTTGTACAGAGAATGAAAAAATTTGGTCCCCAATCACCGCTGTGGTTGGGGGGTTGTTCAGTCTAATTTTGATCTTCAGTTAAGTGTTAGTCGCAGTTACATGTATCTTGCCCTCAAATACCTACCGATGACAGGGAAGTAGCACACACCGTATCTCTTGCTTCAGTAGTCACTGAGATACATGTAGCGCTGGCGGTGGGAACATTGGACGACAATGTGGTTTTGATTGCTGATACAACAGACTGAGGAGGCTCAGAGATCATGCTATTCATCAAAGTGACTGTAGTTGGTTTTGTGCTAGTCACAGATGACGTAGTACTAAACTCAGATGTATCAATAGGTGAACATGGTGCTGTTGATATGATCGAGCTCGGATGCATTGTTTGGAGTAAAAGTTTTTCGCCAATATTGAGAAAGTGGGCTGAGGAATACTCAACTTCTTGTCTTTGTATCATGTGTAAAGGCTATTTCTGGGCTGTTCAAAGGGTTGTTATCATACAATGGAATTTCTCTTCGTGATCACAAAAGTGACCAAAGAATATAATTATTACCCTTCAATCTCTAAGAAATTTGTAAAATAAAGGAGCTACCTGTAATTTTATAAATCTATTACATGTTTATGACGTATAAGTCACTCTAGACTATTACTATAGAACGTTCAGGTAGGGAGACAAAGGAAACATGAACCACAATATACCTTAAAATCTGAACATGGTTCAAAATCCGTCTTAGCCCTTGTATTTAAACGATTCCGTGATTGTGATTTACTTAAAATCTGCTTAAAAGTATGCTACTTTCTAACACCGAGATCTAGACTTCTATAAGACGTCACTGGATGAGGGAGATCATAGATCAGCCGGGTCTGGGCTCGTATTACAGCTAGCCCGCAGACTTATATGATGGTAGAGTGGTATGAACAAGCTTTACCTATTTCTGGCTCAAATAAGATGTTTTGTATGAGGACTTGTGCTTATTTGTTTCTCCGTATGAAAGAGGAAGTGGGTGTTAATCCTTGTGTAGTATCTTTTAGAGTATATATCTTACTAAGTAAATGATGACAATGATTGACACCTCCGTACTGTATCAGCCATCCAAAATAAAAGTAAGATTGCTCATTTACTGCAAACAATAATGCAAACAGCAGCCTCAGCACTTTCCATCAGTCAGTATATCGTAGATCGGATCCAGTGTTTATTGAGCTACATTGGTGTGAGGCTACAAAAGGGAGATGATCGGACCAGGCAAGAATTCCATTCTTGGGGAGAAAAGGAAAGAGGAAGGCCCGCAGGGCCTTTGCTCGGAGCTAAGTACATATATAGGACCATGGGTGCCTCAGGCACCAATGCCTTGTCACCTGACAGGCCGCCAAGGCGCCTGTCATCCTCTGTCTGATACAATGGTCTTGGGAGGCCCATGCAGCTTCCACACGTGCTGGATGAACAGGTAGGCTACTGTGGCAGCATTGGCGGTGTCTGTGCAGGCTATCAAATGCTTGATTTTGGTCAGGCGGTCCACTACAACTAAGATCGAGTTGTAGCCCTCGCTCACGGGCAGGTGTGTAATGAAGTCCATGGACAGGTCTTGCCAGGATCTTTCGGGGACGGGCAGGGGCTGTAGGATTCCTTGACGGGCCTCTCGGGACGGGGTTACTCGGCGGCAGGTGTGGCAGTTCTTGACCCATCGTTCCACGTATCGGTACATATGAGGCCAGTAGTATTCTCGGGCTAGCAGCTCGTAGGTTCGCGAGCGGCCGGGGTGTCCCGAGGCTGGCTTGTCGTGGGCCAGGCGGGTGAGTTCTGCCTTTAGGCTGTCTAAGTCGGGCACATACAGGCGCTCTTTGTACAATAGGAAGTACCCTTTCAGGGTGCAGTTGGCCAGGGTGATGTCGGGGGTGCTTGTCTTTTCCGGTCTGTAGGGCCTTAACAATCTCTCAGACCTTGGTGTCCTTTTCGTAGGCAGATCTGAACAGGTCTTGTATTTCAGGAGGTAGCTGAAGTTCGGTTTCGTCTTCAAACGTGACTGTTCTGGGTGCTATTCGCGTGGGGGCTTAACCGGGGTCGCTGGGGGGTTCGGGGTGTCTGGGGTGTCTGGTTTGGTGGGTTCGGTCGGGGCAATAGGGCCAACAGGGTGTTGTGTGTCCGCGGTTGGAGATGGCAGGCAGGCGGGATCACGTTTTCTCGCTTCAAGACTGTTTGGCTTTGGTGTAGCAGGCGCTTATCCCCCTCCCGCGGGAGATCGCCTGACCTCCTGGTCAGGCTATCGGGCTTGGTGCCCAAGCGTTCGGGGCGGTACTGGATCTTAAAATTAAATTGGGACAATAATTCGGACCAACGGGCTTGGCGGCGGTTCAGGAGCTTAGTGGACATAAAATATTCCAGGTTCCTATGGTCGGTATTCACCTGGACTGGGGACGGGGTTCCTTTGAGTTCGGGGCGCCACTCTTCAAAGCAACGTACAATTGCCAGGAGTTCCTTATCGTGAATCTCATAATTCCACTCTGCTGGCTAGTGTTTCTTTGAGAAGAAGGCGACGGGGTGCAGGAGGCCATCCTCCCCATACTGGGATAGGACGCCGGCGGAGACGTAGTCGGATGCATCGGTTTCCAGGATAATCTCACGGGTCCAGTCGAACGGCTATAGAACAGGGGCGTCAATGAACGCAGACTTCAGGCGCGTCAGGGCCTCATCACAGGCAGGGGACCATATGAACGGGGTGTCTTTCCGTATCAGGGTTACAAGCGGGGCGGCAAGCTTGGAAAAGTCTCGGATGAACCGGCAGTAGAAATTGCTGAACCCTAGGAATGCTTGCACGTCGGTCACACAGGACGGCGTGGGCCAATCGGCAATTGTTTTAACCTTAGCAGGGTCCATTCGGATACCGTTACGGCCTACGATTAGGCCCAGGAACTTGGTTTCGGGGACGGTGAACTCGCACTTCGAGAGTTTTGCGTGTAGGCCCGCGCCGCGGAGCTTCTGGAGAACTAAGCGGACGTGCTGGCGTGCTCTACGCGGGTTCGGCTGTAGATCAGGATGTCGTCTAGCTAGGCAGTACAGAACATGTCCAGATATTCTCTTAGAGTATCGTTAATATAATGCTGGAACGTGGCGGGGGCCCCGGTCATCCCGAAGGGCATGACTAGCGACTCGTACAGACCCAGGCGGGTTCGGAAAGCGGTCAGGTACTCTTGGCCTTTCTTAACTCGCAGGTTATTAAATGCGCTGATGATGTCGATCTTGGTGAAGTAGCGCATTCCCTTTAAGTTATTCAGGGTTTCCTTAACAAGCGGGAGCGGGTAGCGGTCTTTGACAGTGACGGCATTAAGGGCACGGTAGTCGACGCAGAAACGCAAGCCACCATCAGGCTTCTTAACAAACAGGACGGGGGAGGCGACGGGCGAGGAGCTAGGGTGGATAATCCCTTTCTTCAGGTTCTTCATCAGCCACTCTTGTAGGGCGAGGAGCTCTTCCCTGGACATGCCATACAGCGGGCCGAACGGGGGGGTCTTGCCGGGCTCGAGGTTAATGACATGATCGTAGTCTCGGTGCGGCGGGAGCTTCTCCGCTTCTTAGGGTGAAAAAATATCGGCGAACTCCTGGTACTCCTCGGGCAGCCGTGGCTCTGGGGGTTGGGGTTTATGCTGGAGTGTAGGGGGTGCGGGATCTTCTTCTAGGAGGCTGTCAATCTGTTCGATACTGGAGGCATAGATAGGGTAGCTCCGGCGGGCATAGGCTGCGCAGGCCCCTGTAGAGACGGGTCGGATATCACGCCCTTGCAGGGGTTTCGGGGTGGGCAGGTTCACAGGTCGGGCTCTGGCGGGAATATTATGCAGGGCACGGATCTTGGTTGGTCGGGTCGGGGTGTTGCAATGCTTGTAGCAGTATTTACTGTTAAAGCAGAGGGTGTGCTCAGCCCAGCCGACTCAAGGGTCGTGTTTCTTAATCTAAGGTAATCTGATGACAACAGGGTACTGGGCAAGACGGGTAATCATAAATACGACATTTTTTTCAACATGGTTGCCAATCTTCAGGGTTAGGCAGGTGTAGTGGATGATTGCAAGTTCGGGGTCGACGCTTCTGTTAAAGCGTTCCACAGATTGGGGGCGGGACAGAGGATACAAGGTCAGGTTGTGGCTACAAGCCTACTTCTTATCCATTACTCTTCTAATAGTGCACCCAGTATCGAACATCGTGTAGCTGGGTATGGAGCGCTCGTCGCCTTCTAGCAGTATGGGGGTAACCAGTAAGTCTTTTTGTTCCAGTTCTTTCTCAACGGAGAGACCCTGGGTAGCGGCGGCGGAGAGACGGTAAGTGTGCGGGAGGTCCACCCGGCGGCGGCTTAGGCCAGGCTGACCCCTTTTACTGAGCTTTCGGATTCTGGGGAGGCCGGGCGCAGCGGCGGGCTAGGGTATACAGGAAGGTCAGTAGCGGAGCTGAATCTCTGAGGGCAGGTATCTGGTCGGGGGCAGTCGTGGATTGAGTGTTGGCTGGAGCCGCAACGGTAGCATTCGCCGCGCTCCTTGCGGGTTGCGCCGTTAGGGTTCGGGGCATATCTGGGGGCTCTGCTGGTAGATAGGTCCATAGCATCGGGTTCCGGGGGGTTGACGGCAGCCCGGGGGCTGGCGGGTCGCGGGCTGGAGGGTCGAGTGTTGGCGGGGCGAGAGTAGGGGGTAGTTAACGGGTATGCCGGGGCAAAGGCGGTGCTGGGTCTCCAGGGGCGGTCGCGGGTCTTATTCCCCCAGAGCAGGCGGCGGTTCTCCAGGTCTTATAGAAAGGCTGCAAGTTCCATATAGAAGCCTTCGGGGATATCACGGTGCAGGAGCATGGCCTTCAACTCCCTGTTGATGGCCTGTTCCAGCAGGGCAGGCAGTGCGGCTTCGGGCATCTCGCCTTCCATAGCAAGGCGCTGGAACTCGGCGAAGAACGTTGCAAAGTCCTTGTTTCCTTATCGGAGCTGGCAAAGGTCGTTACAGGCATTGCGGGCGCTGTTGGGGTCCCCAAAGGCCTTCTCCAACAGCGTTAGGATATTGGTGTAGTCTCGGAGCCGATAGTTGTTATCCTGGGTGTACAGTGGGATCTGGGTATGAGCGACTCTTCTGAGTCGGCTCATCACATACACAATGCGGGAGTGGGCGGTTGGGAATCAGTCGGCGTTAATAATCATTTTATTCTTAATCTGGGCTGTGAAGCGGCGGAGGTCGTTCCGGGCGCCGTGGAATTTGTCCGGGTCGGAAATACATTTAGAACAAACGGCGGAGGCGGAAGATCCGGGATTAATCGTCGAAGGCGCTCCCACCGCAGCAGCTGCAGGGGCTTCAGCAACAGATTCGGGGGTCAGGGCAGGGGTGCTAACCACAGGGGTGGCTGCTTCTCAGGCTTGGTCTTTTTCTCTCCGGGCTATGTTCCTCTGGCTCATAAGTTCGGCCATCTGGTGGAGACTTTTAAGGTTCTGGGTTTCGAGCTGCTGGGCCTGGACCTCCATAGTGATCTCTTGCCTCTTTCTGGTCTTCTCAGAGTCCACAGCAAAACAGTATATCTGGCCGCAGTAGTCGAACCACCCTTCCGGGTTGTCTGCGACGCTCTGGGTAAACTCATGGACATCCACCGGGTTGGTGGGAGGTTCCGGGATCTCGGGCATGCTGGCTGGTAACGATCCTAAGGGTAGGAGCTACGTAGTGTCAAGGTGCGGACAGGCAGGACGGAGGTAGGATTGATACGGCGGGCAGGACGGGTAATAGACAGGCTACAGGGTTAAGCTATATACAGGAGAATAGACAAGACGTAGCTCGAAGAGCTACAAACAGGATCAGGAACAGGCGGGTAGTTAGAGAGGTTCTGGGTTATGTGCAGGGCGGTCAGGGCTGGCAGTACCATTGGGTTCGCGGGGTATTCTGGGTAGGCGGGGAGAAGGGGTAGTTAGGGTGCTCCACGCTGGCACCGTGACATCTATTAATTAATGTATTATAAATGAGATCAAGTATTAATTAAGCTAGATTAGGAGCTATTCTTATAATCTAGCTGCTATTAGTAGTTAAACAGCAGTTGCAATTCTCCTAGAACCAATAGTGGACAGATAACATATAGTATAAAAAGATAACAATAATTACAGACAGTTGTTATATAATAAAGATGTTATATACCTTACAATAAACAGCTTAACTATCTTCCAGCTCCGTGCCAGGATTGGCTTAATGTTATTTTATCCCGGGGTTGCTGAAACAATCAAGAGTGTAGGTAGTGGCTTCGGTATCCGGAAGAACTGTACCATTAGGACAGACCGGAGCTCTCCCGGACAACTTGCTGACATCACCCCGATAGAAATGGATTCTGTCTGGGGCATGCATCACGATTGCCAGAGGGTCCTAAGCAAGAATATGCAACGAATGAGAGCGAAGTGACTCCGTCGGTTCTGCAGGACGAGGTCTCGAACGAGCAAGATGCTATGAGGTTGTTGTTCAAAGCAGCAGCCCCGTCGCAACACCCTGCCGGGCCGGCGAGGCCCCCGTCACTCACAGCAGTAGTCGGAAGTAGGCCTCAGCATGATGTCTCAGATGCTCTTCGCGTGTGGAATGCTTGCCGCTTCGTTCGGATGGGGTGGTTCACGGCGCAAGAGGCGATGTCTCTGGTCGAATGGTACGGTAACACCTTCCTTTTCGTATCCTATAATGCTGAGATGCTTATCCTCTTCTACTTTGCGACTGCGCAGGTTTTTCGCCTACCTCAATCCACTGTCGCCGGTACTCACTGACTTCTACGGTACGCTTACCAACCAATTTTGGCTTGTCACCCAGGAGCCCTTCCTCTGCTGTACCATCCTGCTTCTCGCGTCGCGATACTATCATCTGCCTGGACGGACGGGAGCATCGAGATCCTCGTTCATTCACCACCGTCTCAGTCAGCACTGCCAGCATCTCCTTCTTCGGGTTATGCTAGGCCAAGAGAAGTTCTCGAAAGCCAAGACGCGCACCGTCGGGACGATCGAGGCCCTGCTCCTGCTCTGCGAGTGGTATCCGAAGTCCTTGCATTTTCCCCCAGAGAGTGACGGCTGGGACTCGGATCTAATCATGACCAATGCGGACCTACGAGATCCGCCACTCATCCACGAGGACGAGCCCTCAGTGTCCATGCAGTGGCAGCAGGAGGTCGTCGAGCCGACTAAGCGCCTGGAGCGCATGTCCTGGATGATCCTCAGCGCGGCAGTCGCTCTCGCTCATGAATTGGGAGTGTTTGACCGGCGGACTGCGGCTAAACCTATCGAGAAGCCCAGTCGGCCGGATAGCCGGATTTACCAGGAGCACTTGGAAGTCAGGTACACGAGAATCCCCTCACTGCTTCTGGTATTCAGCAACATGGCCGCTGCGCGAATTGGATGTGACTCTCTAGTGTCATGGGATGGTGAGGAGTTGAAGGGCCTGAGAGACGGAATCGCCGAGGGCAGCGTAGATGGTCAATGGCGGACAGCCATGGCCCTATGGGTGGATCTCATGCAGATCTCTAAGTCCATCACCGATAGGCAGTTTTCCTCCATCAGGGAAAATGCGGATATTACTTCGCCCGAATTGCTTCTCGAGGCGAAGCGACAAGAGCTCTCTGGGTGGCGATTGCGTCACCTCGAAGCTGGTGGTATGTCTGCTTTCCTTCTCCCTCGCCGTGTGACAAGAGACCCGTGCTGAATGACAGAAACAGTCGACCACAGGACCTTCGACGATATCCTCTTCATTGAATACCAACACGTCAGCATCATACTCAACTCCCTCGGCATGCAGGAGCAGCTCAATTGCCCATCCCCGCCAGAGACGATTCCCACCCTTTGCGCGTATACCGATGCCGTGATCGACCGGTGCAAACAGACTCTCGACCGAATCTCGAGTCTGAGCCAAAGCGGGCTCACGCGCTACATGCCAGTCCGGGTCTTCTTTCGAACGGTCAGCGCCTCGATTTTCCTTCTCAAGGCTCTCGCCCTTGGGGCGCCTTGTACCCGGCTCCAGTCCGCCCTTGCAACTCTCGAGACAGCCATCGCACTCTTGCAAGAGCTGCTAGTGGAGGACGAGCTGCATCTCGGGGGCCGCTACGCAACGCTGCTGGGGGTCGTGGTGTCTCGATTGCGCAAGAGTCTTTTCGATGGGCTTTCTGTGGGGAATGTCAGTGAGAGAAACATAGAGCCAGGTCAGAAGGCCAATGAGCACGGTGACATGTTGAGGCATGAAGCCCCAGAACAATGTTCATCTTCCGCAGCTGGAGTAGAAACTGTTGGTTCTTTGAACCAGAGTCTGAAAGGTCACGCGGCTGTAGACTTTTTCGATGACGATCGATGGCTCTCCCTTCCATTTGAGACATCCATGGCGCCATTTGGCTCTTTTGTCGGGGATATGGGGCTCGTCCCTGATAGTATCGATACTGATTTGGACTTTCTGTGGAACCTACCTCCTTGATGATTATACACACCTGCTCATTAGTCGGACGAAGGAAGTCGGAAGATTATGCTCATAGGGAGCACGTGTTCTATGTAATCTCATCTACCACATGCTCTTACCAGGCAATGCTCACGGCTTTGGAGATAAGTAGGGCCAAGACCTCCGTGTCTTGATACGCGAGACAAACTTACCGGACCTTCTCGATATTGGCATTGTACTGACGGATTGACAATAACTTCTCTTCCACCTGCTTACCCAAGAAAAACCAGAACAATTAACTCGTGGAATTGAAGTACCGCAGCGGGTCTCGTAGGTTTTTGACTTGGAGGTTACCGTAGTTAATGATGCATGACATTGAGACCCATCCAAGAACTTCCATCTTCAGAGGCTTCGCCGTACATAAGAAACTTTGCTTTACTCACCAACCATTTCATCCACCCATGAAGCGTTCCGCTATCATCAAACGAGCCCCGGAGCGCGGCTCTCCACCCGCCATGCATGCTTCGGAAGAGCATCCGCCGGTCTCGGGTCATGAATCCGCTCACCACCGACAATAGCATAGATTTATATAACATCATCCCCGACACCAGACATGGAGCGCTAAACAGACTATCGCACCATTCTTTCCCAGCCAGATTCCCCACCATGACCACCAGCACGCCACTTTCCCGCTTCTCCTCATCTCCCTACAACCCCCCGGACCGGATCTTCGAACTAACCGCACAATACCTGGCCGACCCCAGCCCTCAGAAAGTCAACCTCGGCCAGGGCACGTACCGCAACAGCCACGGCCAGCCGTGGGTGCTCCCCGCCGTGACCGCTGCGCGCAACCGCCTGACGGCCACCGGCCTGAACCATGAATACCTCCCGATCCTGGGCCATCCGGTTTTCCGCATGCTGGCTCCACGGCTCGCCCTGGGACCAGCCCTGCACGCCAGTCTCGCCTCCCAGATAGCCGCCTGTCAGTCGCTATCGGGCACGGGGGCATTACATCTGGCCGGGCTGCTTCTTCGACACCTCCACGACATCCAAGCCCGACAGGGGCTAGCCGCCCCTGCTCTACCGAAAGTCTACATCCCAAGCCCCACCTGGTCGAACCATCACCAAATCTTCACCTCCCTAGGGTTTGAAGTCATCTCGCTGCCCTATTACGCCGCGACGACCCGCTCCCTGGCGCTGGAACCCTATCTCGCCGCCTTGGCCGCGGCGGAGCGCAACAGCGTGGTCATCCTGCACGCGTGCGCGCACAACCCCTCGGGGTGTGATCCGACGCCGGCGCAATGGCGGCAGATCGCGCAGATCGTCCAAGAACGGAACCTCTTCCCCCTTTTCGATGCTGCATACCTGGGGTTCAACTCGGGGGATCTCGACGAGGACGCCGCGGCGATCCGGTTGTTTACGGGCGACGAATTTGGGCTCGAGGTCGGGGTGTGTATGTCGTTTGCGAAGAATATGGGGCTCTATGGTATGGCTTTTCTTCACTTTCGCGGGCTGTAGGGTGGAGGAGGTGGGGTTCATGCGGACTCGCAAAGCCGGATTAGGGCTACGATTCGCAGAGGGAACCGGCGGGTTACGGCATGCTGACCGAAAGATAGGCGAGCGGACGGGGTGCTTTTTCCTCACCACACATACCGAAACGGCAGCCAGGAACACAGAGTCGGTTTTGGAAGTGCTACAGCGACGGGAAGTGTCGAATCCCCCCGCTTATGGGGCGAAGATTGCGGCCATGATTCTGGGGGATGAGGAGCTGGGGAAGATGTGGAAGGAGGACTTGCGAACCATGAGTGGGCGGATTCGGGAGATGAGGGGCCAGTTGGTCGAGGGGTTGGTCAAATTTGGTGAGTCGGACCTATACCTTCTTGGCTGCTCAGGTCGGGTTCCAGCAACAGTGAGCAGGGTTAGTTGTGCTAACAGTCACAGGGGCTCCCGGCAACTGGGGGCATTTGGTGCGCCAGACTGGCATGTTTGGATTTCTTGGACTAGATGAGGGCGTCGTAAAGGAATTGCGGGGTGAGTGATTTCCACTGAAGCCAGTTCTCGTTGCTTCCACGCTGACAAAATCAGAGGAGGATCATATTTACATGGCGGATAATTCGCGCGTGTCGATTGCTGGGTTGAATCCAGGGAATGTCGAGTATGTAGCCAGGGCGATTGCAGAACGACTGCGACAGCGAAATGCTTGATTTGAGGTGGTCACAGGTGAAACCCTACTGAGAGCTTTGTCACGAATGTTGATCCCTGAACGCTTATACTCGTCGATGCAAAATTCTTTTGAGAGTCCGACAACAAGGTCAACCTTGTGATTGATTTTCAGTCATTGTTGTTCAGTAGCATTTACTACTAAGTAGTGTAACGCGTAATCTTGACTGGACCCAATCGTACCGAGCAGTGGGTCACAGCAAAGAAGAATTTTTGCTGGTTTACCCCGGATAGCCCGTGACTTCACCAGACAGACGATCCACAGTTTCGGATCTGCTCCAGACTTACTCACGTACAGTATAGACATTCTCTTCACAACTTCTCTATCAGGGAACTACAGGACGAAATCGACAGTCTCTGGCCACAAAACCATACCCGCCAACGAGTGCGGCTGATTTTTTAAGCAGTACAGCGCTTCATCCATTGATGCTGATGCATTCCATAGCAGGCTCGAGGAGCTCCGCATCCCTCGCAGATTGGCGATATTTGTCAACACATCACATCCCCTAGAACCGAGTCTACTTCAGCATGTTCTGCACCATCTCAGCCCTAGCTCAAATTGATGATTAGCATCAGCATCGCCCAGCCCACTGCAGAAAGACTCACACCACAAAAGTCCCGGCAGACGCCGGCATCGCCCTCAACAAGGCCGGCCCGATCCCATAGAACAAACCCCGCAATCCACTCACAGCCCACGTATCCCGCACCACATGTTCCAGCCCTCGATATCTCCTCTCGGACCCCAACCCATCACTCTGCATCTTGCTCTTAATCACATCAATCGGATGGCTCAATAACCAGAGCGCCTCCCCCGCCAACCCCCCATATACCGCAATCTGCCAGCCCGGTAACTCCTCGCGTCGTTTGCCCTGCCGATGCATCGCCCACCGAACCAGCCCCTCATACGTCGCAAACCACACCCCATACCCGTGCATCTCACGAGCAACCGTCATCACCTGCCCCCGATACAACCCAGCCAGCCCGCCCATCCGCATCAATTTCCGTGCACAGTCGAACGGCCCTGTGTAGATTCTTCCCGTGCCGTGCGGTTGCGTCTGAAGTCTGATGCGGATATGCTCCACTGGGCCCGAGACGGTACTAGTCACCAGCCCTGCACCTGCACCAGCGATATAGAATTGAGGAAGGGAGAGGGTCCGATCAGGCGAGGGACGGCTTTTGCGGTTGTATGATTCGATCGCTTGGCGGAAGGTATGCAGAGCTCCGAACGAAATGCTGACCTGTAACCCTTGTAAGCTCTTGAGACAAAGCTGGTCGATCAACAATAATACGTACGCAAGCACCCACCCCCAGCAAGGGCATAAGCGTGCCCTGTTTGACGGTTGTGTCTCAGCATGAAACTCGCATCGCTTTCTTGAGCAGCAACGGACCTTGTAGAATGCAAGGGCACCTTCCTGAGCCCATATTTGGCGAGTGGCAACCCACGCATTCCCGCCTTCTTGAGTCTGCAGACGAACCTTGACAAGGTCTGGGCTGTGAGAGTGTCTGCCGCGTTAAGGGTAGCGGTGGCTTACCGAATGGTTGTCCTGGACGTGTCAGCGTTGCTTCCGAGCATTAGGCAAAGAGTCTTACCGATGAGTACCTGTGCAACTCCACCAGCTGCGCCAGCAATTACGTCCTTGGCGGTCTGCCTCCACTTCTGGGATCTGGGCACCTCTAATGTGGGAATTTGGTCGCTCATCTTGGTCCGGGTCCTACTCGCGCGGTATGTGAAAGGCAATGGATGAAAGGTCTTGGAAATGGGGCAAAATCACGACCATCTCGAAGTTGATGGTCGGAAGAGGGGTTCATGTTTGATAGACTAGAGTTTCCCACATTCGGGTATGGTTCCGAGAGACTCTGCGCGGTCATCGCCATGTTTCGGGATCCGACGCCGACCCTTGATACGGGTTGCGAGTGGCTTGCCTCTATCTTTGACTATCGCTCTATAGTCTTCAGGAAGGAGCGGACCTTATCAGTCTCCTCGCAGTCGCGAGCTGTTAAAGAAGTTGCCATGCTCCTGTCAGCACTGTCTTGAGAACTCGAAGTAATCCTTGTCATCCCACAGGCTAAAGCAAAACAACAGCCGTAAATTGAGGAAACAATCACCTACCAAGCTCAAGCCTCTCCATTTTGCTTGAAACAAGAGCTCAAAATGAATTCAGCGCAGATGATCATATATGACCTCGTGATAGGTTTGTGAACAGTATGCAGAATCGGGAGGATTGGCGGGGCACCGTGGAGTATCGCTTTGGCTGCACAATCACGCTTCTTATCAAGCTCTTGCCTATTCGACTCGGCTCGTGATAGACTGGGCCATCCTGGAGGTGGATGTCCCCTTCAAGTTCTCGAAAACCACATTCGAAAGTATGGAACCCTTTGCCGAGGGAAACCCTTTGCTGTCGGTAATACGGTCCAGGCTTATCTGATCCGATGGCCGATGGTAGGCTGTCGTCACGAGACTTGGTCACATGGACGCAGGCTGCTCTGAGCAGCCCTAAGAATGAGAAACCTTCCACGGCGGTCTAGAAGCTTTGGTTGCAGACAGACTATGGCGAGTATGGTCTAGAAGCTTACTGCATTTTAAGCAGGCTTGCTTCAAACTAGTTCATGAAAAGGCCCTGAAACAGAACCACGCTGGGATTGAGGCTCTGCGTCTAATTATACATCACTCATCTGTGTTGAGACTGAAGTTCACCTTCGAGGTCAAGTCAGATTCCGGGCTTTCAAGTACGGCAAGAATAATATGTTGGGGAACTACTCCGTATACTTGACTCATTGGTCTCACTTCCTGGTAGCCCTTGGCGTACCATTTGAATGAT